CTCCTTCCTCCCCATCTCCGGACATCTCCTTCCTCTTCCTCTCCATCTTCATCTTCCTCTCCATCTCCTTTCTCCCCATCTCCATCTCCTCCGTCCTTCTTCATAGACCTTGAATCCGACCTCCTCCTCCACAGATTTCACCTTCTCTGATTCTCCGACTTCACTGATTGCACAGACTCCATTGGTGAAGTGAACCTAGATGAACGAAAATTTCAATCGCATATATGAACAAGGCAAATTGAATTCCTTAAATTCCCAAGAGGAATAGATCGTGGCCGAGAACAAGGCAAATTGAATTTGTTTATTTTTCTTTTCTCCAAACACTTCTCATTCAGATTTCCAAACCCATATCGTTTCTCTCAGATTTCAAAACCCATATCTTATCATATCTCCAAAACTCACCAAACGGGCCCTTAGAGTAATTAGACATCAGGCGCAAAAAGAAGATGAAAAAGTAATAAACATGTGAAATTGTGAATTCTAAAATACTTAAAACTAGAAGAACCTGCATTTAACCCACAAATAAATACATTTTAAGCTACATATTATTTTTGAAAATGCACCATACTCTTTGCATGATAAGAGAACAAAAGTTCAGTAAAGCAAACAATGTAGATGCCTGGGCAAAATGTATCACCACCCTCTTATATATGACTATGACCATCTAGTATTTCAATGTTTTGTAAGGGCTAACATCCTACTTAGATAAACAATTAACTAAAGAGAACTTTAGGGTCTGCTATTGACCATGACAATACTTCCTTGGAGTCAAACAAACATATGTCAAAAGGTTTATATTGGTACCAATATGTATATATACCCATACGTATAGGAAAAGAAAAATATAGAAATACAACTTCAAGTAATTTGATAATCAATTATTTACATGGTTAACATATAATAAAAATAAATTCTAAGAGCATCTCCAACCATTGAGCTTTGGCTTGTTAAATGTCATCATTTGGCAATCCATTTCAATTTTGGTGCTCCAAGGGGCCTGCTTTATTATAGCACACTTGGTAAATTTTAACTTTGGCTTGTTATATATAGCCAGCCTCTCAAAATATAGCAAACCATGATATTAATTAATTCTTTGATTTCTCTCTTCTTTTCTCTCATTCTCCTCAAAATATGTAGTTACTTCTACTCTCTAACTTTAAACTTTTTGTAAAGTTTTTTTCTCTACTTTTTAATTGGTATTTATTAAATATTTAAAATAATGCTCCGTATATTTTATTATTTTCCCAAAAGTAAAATATTACTACATATTGTTTTTTGTAATTATTATTTTTAAATTACATACTTATTACTTAATTTTTATAATATAAAATAATAATTGAATAATTATTATAAAAAGTGTATTATAATAGTGAAAACAATATAATATAATTGTTATCTAAATTATAGCAAGGGAAGGTTGGAGATGACAATGCAAAAGGGCTTGCTATACAACCATTCACATGCTAAAAATGACTTTAGCAAGCCATGTTTAGCAAGTGTGGTTGGAGATGCTCTAATAAGATCCTAGATTAACCTGCACTTATGTTTTAAAGAATAGTTGTGGCACAGAAACATGCTTGGTTAAATGATAGATTTAAAGAGAAAGCTATACATTGTAAATTGTTTAACCTTGAGAAGAGAATTGAGATGCACTGTTGACTCAATTAGACCCATTATAAATGATACAATCATGAGTATGAGCCCGGTAAAGAAATGAACCAAGAGCACCACATTCTGCAAGTATCACAAGAGAAACATCAATGATCATCAACAGTGATATGCACCTTTCTTGATGTTTTTTGTAAAAGTAATGCATGCTACTTGACGAAGCAAAATATAAATAAAAATTGAAGAACTTTATAATTTATTAATCATGCACACACATACTTGTGCCATGCTATGCTCCGAGAAGAAGAATGTAAGGCAATATGTTGAAGAAGCAATAGCTAGTCCATATTCCAAAAACATGAGAGCAGTAGGGAAGAGAGAATCCTTTCCAACAAATTGATCAAGTCCTGTTTAGGATCAAATGAAAATTATAATACATCAGGTAACCAATATTATTTGTTGGGTTTATTCCAATAGTATTTATTTTCTTTAATCCTGCACTCTTTTCTTGCCGAACATGACTATCGGCCACTATCCTCATATAAACTTGCCGATCAATTTATTTTTTATTGTGAAACTATACGAAGACATGAAGCTATATGAGACATTTGAAATGATATTCTACTTTCATTTTATATCTATTACAAGAATGGAGTGCACCGTTACTTTGATAGGCATATATAAACCTGCTTGTCAGAGAAAGAACAATCAATCATGATGTAGCTGTGAGTAAACATTTAAGCCTGACTTTCAACAACTAACGTCCACAGTTATCATGGCATTACAGTAGGACTATGGAAATTGTATTTATATAAGCGTCTATTGTTCCCATGAAATCACATCTAGCAATGTGAATTGGAAATCTTCCATTATGAACTTTTTGCAATTCATACTTTTTCTGTAATTTAGTCTGTTTGAAGCCTTAAGAAAATAATTCAACACACCACGTAAAAGAAGTGATGAAACTTTACAGTATGATGTGGAGGAACCTCCTAATTTGAACTTCTAGAATATTTGAAAGAAATCTCAGTTAAATCAGCTGAGGCCCACTTCTAAAATACAATGGGAGTGTTTACAAACGACTAATTTTCTGCTTTTGTCTTATTTAACCACTTTTTGGGAGTTTGGTAAAGTTAAAAGTTCTTAAATAATCACGTTTTAAAGCCTTAAGCAAAAAGCAGGTTGACCTACTCATTTCTGCTCATTGCTTATTTAAACCACTTCACAACTTTGTCCTTACTAACATTTCTCTGCTACTATTTAGGGACAACTATATCTTTTAATTATACAATAAGAACATAACAAGTTTTTGTTTGCGAACTCTCAAAAACATTTAAGCAGAAATATATACTCAAAGATACAAGCACTATAAAATTTTGAACCGGATCGGAATACTCTCCGGTTCGCGGTCGGCCAGTCCGGTCAAGTTCTAACAACATTGGTTGTATGTTGTAAGTAAATGTGCAGCTCAAAGCAAGTCAAATAGGCTACAGGCATACCAAAGATGCAAAAGATGATCAGGGAAAAGGAAGAGGGAAATAAAAAGCTGATGAAGTCCCATATATATGCTGAAGCCCAATATGAAAGTATAGACACCTGAGAAGGAGACAAATGGTCAAGAAATAAGAAAGCATTGGGAAATGGATAACAAAACAAGAATCTGAGAATTTAAAGATATTAGTATACCCCACTAATTAGCTGCTGATGCTTTGCTTTTACCTCACGTTCCTGCACATGTCAATGCAAATTAACAGCACAATTATCAGTCATAGCCTCTTACATGATATTCACACAATTCATTCTTGGAAGACTTTTTTCCTTGTCCTAAATAGTAACAAAACCAAATCAAGATTTGCATGCAGTCTACTTTTTACAGGGTAGGTGAAAACAATGTAAACCAGACGAATTTTGCATCATGTGAAATCATTTATGTATGTTTTATTTCATCCAAAATTGAAACATATACACAAGTCTGGCTGCACATGTACCAAACATGTGGGTGCATGCTCACTAATTGATGCTTGGTATACTCCAAATGCAAGTATAACACCAAAGAAACTCTACCTTTACAATTGCAACAGCAAATGAGGCAGGAATAAAGGAAAATGCAATGGTAACAACAACTGCTGCAGAAAACGCATCCAGATCCTACACATTGATACATTCAAATATAAGAATAAATAGAAAAAAACGGCCAAAACGCAACAACCTAGCAAGTAAAATCCCACAAATGGGGTCTGCGGAACAATCTTAGTTCAAACATTTCTAAAATTTGTCAACATCATACAAAAGAGTTGATGTCATAAAATTTGGCATGCCAAGTTACTAATCTAAATTTGTGATCAACAGTATGACCAGTATCACACACCAAATGTCAGTATTTATTGGACCAGGGAATGGAAAGATTTGTGTCAGATAGCTGGAACAAAATTTTCAGTTCTCAAACTACTCTTTGCAGTGCACTATAGGGAGCCTACTTTATACACTACATAACATTTATATAATGTATAAAGATCAGTAAAATTCTCAGAAAAATGGATCAGAGGGAACAAATTACAGAAGCACTGTGCATCTGTTAAACATTTAATGAAATTTATTGGGAAAGCAAGCAAGACCTCTCCTACTTTAAAACGACCTTTCACGCTACGGTGCCATAAATGATAAGCTCATACAAAGTATACACTAAATACATGTAAAGAAAATAGAATAAAAATACGGAGTAATATTAAAGAAAAATCATACATGGTGTTGTTGGTGTTGACTTTCAGTCATAGGTAAAGGGTGGTTACGTGTAACAATTGTCATATTCTCATTTTGCGTAGCAAGCCTGAGTATTGCTGAATTCATCACATTGATGAAGGTTGGAGCAGAATGCTGACAAGAGCTATTGTGCAGGACAGTGTATCCTAGACTGCCATCATCATGCTGATTATCCATGACAATTGCTCCATACCTGTTTCAGGAATATGCCCAATAACGAAAAGAGCTAAACAGCACACATCCCAACCAGACACTGATTGTAAGGACATGCTTCTACTTTCATCATCATCTTAACATCTAACACAACCACTACAAGTTTCCTTGATGAAAGGAACCACTGGACAGCTTTTGGAGTTCAAAGCAGAGGAGTCCCACTGTTTGCTAGCGTTGTATTTTGGTCTCCGTGATCTTGGAAAAGCCTTGGTTATGGAGAATAGAATGTGGTAACGCATCTTCATATGACTTAGTTATTTTTTAGGGATGATGAGACAAAGCTTGAGCATCTTCGCTGATGGAAAAACTAGAATATATATATATATATATATATATATATATATATATATATATATATATATATATATATATATAAGCATGCCTTATAACAGCTTTGAGGTTGATGATTTATGACAAAATGATTTTGCTTATGTGATTCAAATGGTGTTATAGTTTATACAATAGCTTCAAGATGAGATGATCAAATATTTCATGCAAGACTGAAGGTAAAATCATTCAGCAATGGTGCAGCATGAAATTAAATCAGCCAAAATTGGGACAATGGTCACTAAAAATGAAAGTTTGGACATTGGAGGAGAGTCAAGAGCTGTTTTTTCAGTCACACCACTCACACCTAGCTATGAAGCTATCCCAAAAAACCATGAGGATATTCTGAATACTTTACAAGTTTCAAGTTGTTAGAGTGTTGTTCCACATCGGAAGTTCAAGAGCAAAATAATCGGTATATAAGCTCTTGAGTTGAACTAACTAATCGATTGGATTCAATCTTTTAATGTGGTTCAGCCCAAGTGTCTTATTGCCCAATCCAGTTATCACTACCACATCCTAAATTCTATCATGGTATCGGAGCAGGTTTTGGCCCACCTCATTTGTCAAGGTGTCCGTCTAGACGTTCATTCCTAGCGGCCCATTAGTCTTTAGCCCAGTTGTCTGTATGGAGTATGTACCCAACGGCCTGTGGCCCGTTTAACACGACTGCTTGTCTAGAAGTCCATACCCAGCGGCTCGTGGTCCTTTAAGTGTTGGCACTCAAAAAAAATCAAGGGAATGGGAGTTTATTTGCAAGTGGTCAACCGGTTATATTCAAAATGGCCTTGTTGTCCACTTGAGGGGGAGTGTTAGAGTGTCATCCCACATCGGAAGTTCAAGAGCAAAATAATCGGTATATAAGCTCTTGAGTTGAACTAACTAATCGATTGGATTCAATCTTTTAATGTGGTTCAGCCCAAGTGCCTTATTGCCCAATCCAGTTATCACTACCCCATCCTAAATTCTATCACAAATTAATTTTAAAGAGATTAGTGCTGCACCACTGACCTCGATTGATATGACTCATTGAAACTAGACATCAGATATTCACTCATAGAAAGCAGTGCAGGTCCCAAGGTAGACCCAGCTGCCTCAATAGCATCACTTAATGCCTTTCCAGAATTGGGGAATCTATATGTCGTTTGTTGAAACATTTGTATCCATCCTCCCCTAACATAATTTGCGACCTGCAGTAAAAACAAGTTAAGTAAACAACCCTTGAAATTAATAAGAAGCAACAAGGGTAAAACTTATAAGCGTATAACCTCCTTTTCAATAGGCCAGGTAAGATCAAAAGGAATTGGGCCTCCACCGCCTCCCCCACTTAGTAAAGGATTAAAGTACGAAGTTGTAAAGATGACTGACTGCTGATCAGGATGTGGCTTAAGCTTAAGAAATAGTAGCCCAGAAAGTAAAAAGACGACAGGGATTAGAAGCTGGAAAACAATTGTTTTCATATCTCTCTGAGCAGACTTTGCTCTCTTTATGAATAATGCTTTTGAATGTTTCCAAAACATTGACCTTGAAAATATACAGCAGCAACAGCACTGCATACTTAAGAACCTAAAAGCACTTAGAACTGTAGTCAAGATTAGATAAGAAATTCTTCCAATTATGGTGGCTATAGAACACATAATTCTAAAATAGCTTCCACATGACTTAGAATGGTAGAATCTTTTTGGTGCATAAGACTGGCAGGCTCCCAACACAGCAGTATCACGTGCGACTAAAATTTCTCTCTCCCCATGGCTCTCGTCTTGATCAAAATCACCCCCAGCAACTCTCAAAAATACTTCCTCCAGAGTTGTGACAGATATGCCAAAGCTTTCAATGCCCACATTTTCTTCCCCACAGCTATCAATGTTAGATTTAGAAGTGGACCTTTTCATAAAGCACTCTAGTTCACGAAACATGCTTCCAAAAGAATACGAGGACGTGAGAGGAAGTTTGAAGGATATCTCTGTTCCAACCTACAAAGGATGTCAAAAGCTAAAACATGTTTACAAATAATTAATTAAAAACATTGATACATACAGTTATTTAACCACTAGAACAGCTGTGAAAAATTATGCACTTATTCAAGAAGGATTGATTTTCTGAAAGAAGATTACTTCACTTATGCATTTAGCAGATGGAATGTGCTGGTATACAATATCGGCAACTGCAGTGGCTCCGGGTGCAGTCTGGAAGCAAAGTTAATGACTATAAGATAGCAAGGGTGTTACACCAAGAAGCCGAGGCTAATAAAGTAATATACAACAACCCATAGGGAAAGTTTAATGTGTCATTTTGATTTTGTCCATTATGTACCCAAAACTAAAACATTGTTAATAATGACTCTTAGCTAATAAGAGAAATATGTCAAGATGAGTACCTTAACCAAAGTGAGGGTATAACCAGCTCCGTAGTGATGCTTTAAGAAGAGAGAACTGTCAGTAGAGTTAAAACATGTGTTAAGAACATATGAAAAGAAAGAAGAGGGGAGCTTACCCCACAGATTACCAAGTTTAAATGGAAAACACATCATACAGTTCAATTTAACCCAAACAATTAAAGTAGCTGTGTTTATGTGATATACGGAGTATGTGTGTGTGTGTGTGTGTGTATGTTTTTATATGAACTAAATAGTGGCACTAAATTGAAAAGTGGAAACACCTTCCACAACATTTCAAAGAACCATTGGCCATTATAGCTATCCTATCCCCTAAGACATCAGCTTCATCCATGGAATGAGTAGTTAGTAAGATTATTCTTCCTTTCTTTTTCCTTTTTATCAGCTGCCAGGTCAATCGCATGGAATAAGGATCCATCCCGCTGGTTGGTTCATCAAGAACAACTATCTAATAAAGAAACATCATATTGTTAAGCGAATTCCCGAACAGATATACATAAATATCAGAACTCCATTTTTATCCTGCACTCACTTTACTGTTTCCTAATAGTGCTATCCCAAGTGATAGCTTCCTTTTCATTCCTCCAGAAAGAGCTCTTACTACAGTATTAAGTTTGTCTGCTAAGCCAACCTGAAGATACATGAAAAGTAGTTTGTAAAAAATCAAAATAAACCAATGACAAAACTATGCATAAACCTTTAACAAAACTGATCCTCATGCCAACAAAATTAACCCCTTTACATGTGTGGAGTAAGGTAGGATATAGCTTCTTGAGATGTAAAGAAGATAAATGTTACCTAGAAGCATGGTAACACTCCTAAGATGTCATCTTTGTAATAACGAAATGATGACTTAGAAGAAGACTAAGACTAAGGAGAAATTCTCCTTGGCTTTCACACATAATGAGAGCCAACTATTTTTTGGTGTGAAGAGTCTAACAGTTGGCTTTTCTGATTAGCATAATCTTGTGATAGAGCTTTATCCATTCAGAACACACCATTTCATCCCTCACCTCTTCCCAAATAACCGTCAGAAACCTTACTACTGGCTTCCCCCTCATGTGCCGCTTGTAGCAAGCAAAATTAGTCTTATTTTTTTTCTCAGATTTACAAATATCCGATCTGAAGATCTGATGACGACACTGCCATCACATTTCCCTTCCTATCCTCCTGGTAATTCTGGCAGTGCATTTTCGGACCCAATATGCTGCCTCAACCGCAAGAAGCCGCCGCCTTTGACATTTGTTTCAGCCATTCTTTCATGATTACTCGGCCTCCATCCGACAAGTCTAATGTCCTTCAGCTTCTCTTCTTTTAAAAACTCACGCCCAAATGGCCAAATCAACCAGAGTGTAACTTTTGAAAAAAAAATGGTCTCTCTAAACAATAGTGTTATGAGCTGCATGGGAGACCTCAACTTTCAGTCAACATTGTTAAATTCTACCGGCTCCAATTGTGATGTCACCAACTGAATATGAGGAACCAAAAGTTATGGCATTATTCTCTCACATATGTCTATGTCCTGTGTTTCGAACACATTAAGCCTGTTTGATTAAGATGCTTCCGATCATACCTTTTGTCAAAACCTCAATATTTACCTTTAAATACTCCTATCAACAGTCATCCATAACAACAACAACAACCTAGTAGACTCCCACAGAAGAATGGTCTCGAGAGTGTGCGTGGGCTCAGACCTTATCCCTAGTCGAAACTAGAGACTGTTTCCAAAAGACCTCAGCTCGAGTAACACAAAAGGCACACACAGCATGAGCACAATAAGTAAAGAACTAACTAAGGGTAAAAAAAATGAAAAGAGACAAAAAGCAACGAGCAAAAAAAGTACACACACCAATAGTCCGTTAAACCTTGTGTCTATTCCAGTTAGATGTCAATAATGTTTTCCTTCATGTGAATATGCGTAATGAGGTTTACTTGCATCAACACACATTGCATCAAATCTAGTATACCACAAGCAGGCCAAACACATTTAGAAATTGATTGCCATTTCATCCAATGAAAGATCACATCCAGACACATTGTTACTAGATATCTCAGCACAAACATATTAGCTTTCTGACATCTTGAACAACAATGTCTTTGAGGTCCTCTAATATAAATTTGAATAAATTCACACACTTTTTGTTTTGTGTGTGTATAACTCTCCTCGTCACAACTAATCCAACGTTAGAAAGTTTACTGTGTAAGCAGTCCAAAGCTTGTAAAAAAATCAGAATGTGTAAAGACTAAATTTTAAACATTTGAAATCAGAAAACAGTTACACCTAAAAAATTTCAACCAAAGCTACGAAATAGGATAAAATAAATGTGTAAAACAATAAGAGCTATAGAGGAGGTTGTGAGAACTAATGAGTTTATTCATGTCTGCCCTCATGCGTATCAGTTCTCTGGAAGTGAAAAGTCAAAGAGGAGACACATGGGAGTAGTTCAAGAAACTCACTCTATGTGAACGTGAGTGAATATATATTTTACTTTTTTCATATATTGTGTGAGAGTGTGAACTAAAGGTAAAATAGATGATCAGATTAACTAAATGCCTCTAAAAGTATTACAATACAAAACCCAGCTGCTGTTTGATTAGGTTTGACAGACATAATTCCTTCTAGATTCAACTCCTATACACTAGATGAATCATGTTCAAGGAGCAAACATTTTCTAGATTTTGGTAATGTGACATTGTTGACCTAGTATGCTAGTCCCAATTCAGGTTATTCATTAACACAAAGCTATAAAAATGTCATAAGAAGTTTGTGTACCAATTTAATCAAAATCCAAAGTGCATTCAACTGAGACATATCTTTACCAAGTTGCCCTCCCAAACAAGAATTGAGAACACAACTTGACTCAAAGAAGAAATGTGATGTCACATAATATGAATTGAGTAACTTACTTCATCCACCATTTCTGTTACAAGATTATCGATCGTGTCTTCACTCACTCCCTTTACATTAGCAAAAATTTCCAGATGTTCCTTCACCTGGACAGAACAATCGGCAAAGCATGGCTTTGGGTATGAATATCATAAGCAAGAAAGGAACAACAAGAATATAAAATAAATAAAAGATAAACTTACATAAATGGACTAACTTTATGTCACAAGACAGAAAGAATAGAGGTGATGGATTATAAGTGGTTACAGTAACAATTACCAAAGATGTTGCTGGCATCCAAAAAGGCCTGTTTTAGAGATTTCAATTTTTGCAGGTCCATATGAGAATAACATGAAACACTTTACAGCAAAAACTTGTGAAGCTACTAGAAGAGGACCACAAAGATCCATTGTATTGGTATTGGTTGGTTTCAGTTGTACCAATTAAAACATTTTTCAATTTTCAGCTTTTGTTTTCAAAGCATGAGTGAGTAATGCAAATAATGTGCCAGGCTCCAACTACTCCTGATTTGGTCGGCAACTTCATGACGCTTTTCTTGACAATTCATAGAAAGAATAAAGAATACTAGCATTCAGCAATTTTCAAGAAGCATGTTACTGCATTAGTGAACTTATATTTTCCTCCATTAATTTTCTTTTCACGTAATAGGAGGAATTAAGGAATGCATATTAAGGAAACAGTTCCAGATAGCATATCTAGATACAGGACTGCCAATAATAAATGATGCACGAGGATAGCAGGGTCAGCATAAAGCCAACAAGAAGAGGATGGGGGTCAAGTGAAAAGTAACCTAGAGCAATCAAACAGAACTTTTCGTACAGTTAATTCTGGAAAAAGAATGTCATATTGAGGACAAACACCCAAGCTCTTCCGTATCTCGTCCTGCAAAACCAACAACCACTTGTAATAAACACTTTTGTCAAGCTCCTATCATACTAAGTTACTAACATAATAAATATATAAAGAAATAAATGTAAATGTACTACCATGTCAGTTAAAATGTTTTTTCCAAAAACCAAAGCATCCCCAGAGGTAGGAGGAAGAAGACCGACAAGCATTGATAGTGTTGTGCTTTTACCAGCTCCATTGTGTCCTTCAATAGTAAAATAGGGGAATAAAAAAAGTGATGAGGATGCAACTAGATAACTCAAAACATATAGCCAATACTGTATCCAATTACGGAGTATAAAACAGAGTATCATTTCAACAAACAAAAAGTTGATAATGATGATGAAAAACTATTTATACACTCAAGGGCCATTATCTTGACACTCAAGGAGTATATTGAAAATAGCTACCTAGAAGAGCAAGAATCTGATTCTCATATAAGGTCAGTTGTAAGGACTTAACAGCAGAACATTTTCCCCTATCAGTACTATACACCTTCTGCAAATTCCTGATCTTTACACATCTGCAGAATCATGTAAGATAAGCATAATTGTACAACTTAATGCTTGGGAAGCGCACATCAACCAAGTAGACAAATTTCAGTTAGAGATAGCATGTCAAATTACCTTCCATCCATTTCGCATTGTTTCATTTCCAAACTGATAGGTTCCATGGCTGGTTTATATATCTCTTCTCTATGTAGATTTGAGCTTTCCTTATCAGAGTTGTAAGTTAAACTGACTTCTGGGGTCGAAGCATCATGCTCTCTGCTATTTCCTGTCCTCTTAAATGAATTCCAGAAAGTAGAGTTCCATGAGAAGTGCCATCCACTCTCCCTACTAAGAACCTGATCACATGCACACAAACTCACACACTGTCACACATATAAACTCGTATGCTTTTATCTGGCTAAAACCATTGAGACAACACAGATGTATTTATTTTCAATTTAACTGAACTAGCTTAGGGTTTTTTGAAGCAAACTGCCTGCTTGTATATATCTAGTTCCCAAACACTACCTTATATTTTTTTAAAATAGTCAGTACTATATCATCTCCCCTACTCTTACAAAACAACATTTGCATAGCTTCCTGTTTTGGCTTCTTATTTAAACATTGCTACACTGATAAAGAATTGTCAGCTTAAGATTGAGTTTGTCTCATTAATTTCTTTTTAAAGAAAAAGTAACCATACACGGCAGCTGTGCCTTCTTTTTTATCAAAAAAACTTACATGACAAAATGACAAAGAAAATATAGTCTAGAAAATATACCTTATCTAGATAGATGCCAATAGCAGCATAAAGTACTGTATCAACTAACATCATCAAGAGGCAGAGCAAAAAACAAACTCCTGAGGACTCCTGCATTGATGATAAAAGTACACACTTCAAAACTATATATATACACACACACACACACATATATATATATACTCCCTCCGTCCATTATTAAAGTTCCCGGTTTGACCGGGCACGCACTTTAAGAAAATGTAAAAATTTCCTTGACTTTCCCAAAATGCCCTCCACCTTACCCCACTTCCCCACCTATTCCTATCCTGCCTAAATTACTACCCCCAACCCAACACAACCGGCCAGAAGAAAATTCCGGCGACCCAAATAGATCAATTTTTCCGGCGGCCGTGTCACTGCTCGCCGTCAGAAATCTGGGGCTCCTTCCCTCCGGTCCAATACGGCGCCTGTACTCCGCCAGGGACCGCCACCACCGTCAATTTCTTTGCCGACACTAATCTGAAAAAAAATTCTCAGATCTGACGGAGACGGACAAGAAAGAAGAAGAGTTGAAGATGGATTGGGCGTTGGACCATGGAAATTGAAGAAGGAGAAGAAGAAGAAGAAGAAGAATAGGAGGAGGAGATCGGACCGCCACCGTCTCGCAACCCCACCACTGCCACCGCCTCGCTACCCCACCTTTACTCCGATCGCCGATTCACTGCCCTCAATTTACAGGAAAAATCAAAAGAGGAAAGGAGAAAGAAAGAAGAAGAAGAAAGAAGAAGAAAGAAGATAAGAAACGAGAGAAGAAGAAGAAAGGAAAGAGAGAAAAAAAAGTGGTGGGTGGGATTGGGAAAGGAAACGGCGGATAGGGATTGGGGAAGGAAAAAGAAAAAGAAAAGATAGGGAGAGGGTGGGGAGGGTAATTTGGACTTTTTGATACAAAAAACTTTCCAAAAATAGAAATGGGAACATTATTTTTGGACGGACGAAAAAGGAAAGTGAGAACTTTATTTGTGGACGGAGGGATTATATATATCTGTGTGTGTGTATGTATGCATGGATGCATGGATGCAAGGATGCATATGTGCATGTATGTATTTATGTATGTATGTGTACATATATATGAACAAGACTGTAGCATGAGAAAAGAGAATACCCGCCAAATGTTACTCCATCTGAGTCCAACATGAGCGCGCTCATAGTCTGCAAAGTTGATAGAGCCCAAGGCAAATGCTGTGGGTGAAAGGAATGAAGCCATCAGTTTTAATACCCTACAAGTATAAAATGCAGGTTGATTATTGACAGTGAAATAAGGGGAAATGCCCCAATCTTTGCCAAGTAGAGAATGTTTTGGTGTTGCCATAGCAAAAGGACTGACATGGAAATAGTCTCATCATTGATGGTGTAATAAGGGAAAAATGCCCCAAGGAAAGCAAGTGTCCCCACAGCTACAGCAGTTTTTGCCCGTGTGAAAAATGTAGAGATCAGAAAGGACAGTGTTATTGCACTGAGTCCAAAAGCAAAGAAGTAGGCAAACACCAGTGATTTGTCACTGTATTGGAAGAGGGTACTCATAGTGCAGAGAGTAATGGTCATAGAAGAAACTGCAAACTATCAAAGGAAAGAAAGCATCTAAATTAGATATACGGGCATACTCATTCTTATAAAGCAACATATAGGAAAAGAAAGCAGCAAAAAGGATGCACCAGCAAAACATCAACAGCTACAATACTCGCAAAGATAATAAATCCAGAAGCTAGATCAGACCGGCGGGGATAACAAAAATGATGGGTATTTAGAACTCTACAGAAGTTAAACATGTTCTGAAGTTCTCTAGAAAGAAGCAAACACTATGCACCAGTGTATCACTCATAAACAATCATGCAAAAGTGGATGGTGTGGATGTGGATTCAAATTTTCCTACTAGTCTTACTTTCTATTTTTCAATTGTTTTCCATTACAATTACCTTTCTATTTTGTTTATTTGGGAAGAATGGCAAGAAGGACAATTGGGTGAGATATATGCAGAGGATGTAATTAACAGAATGAAACATCACCTGCAATGCATATGTCAAAAACCAAGAGAGATGGAATATCTCATCTTTGAGCCCCATCATGAATAGGCCTTCTTTAATTTTCAGCTCCTAAACATTTCATAGCAGCTAATGAAATTTTCATGTCACCAATTTCCCTTCATTTTTAAAACTAGAAAAATAAAGATTGAAATGGAGCATGGAAACAGTTATACATGTTTACCTTTTCTATGACGGAATAACTTATGAGACGGGAGATTGGGTAGAGAAATCCCAGCAAGTACCTATAGATTGCATGCTTATATTTAACTGGATACTTTCTAAATGATAAAGGTCAAGCTAAACAACATCAACAACAGCAACGATGAAAAAATGGTGTGGACATAGAGAAGTGAGAACTGTAATCACAGTTCCAGAGAAAGACAAGAAAAAATGCATACATGATTCCCATAACTTTCTTGACTATGGATTGGAACTCGTCATCAGTATATTCACGAGTTGGAAATGGAACAGTTCTTATATTTGAAGGACTAAACTGAGTCCAAGGTATTGATGCAGGAAAATGTGTACCAGAAGAGCCCCATTGTAAGAGTGATGAGTTTGTCGAAATGTGTTGAGCAACATATATAATGAACGAATCCATGACTTGTTGGAGCTGTAAGATAATAAGAAAACCCATTTTAATAATAATTAATTTCTTGTGGAAGATCAAAGTTACTTGGTGAAATACATGATATCTCAGACAATGATATCAAAAGCATCATTGCAACAAAACAACTTACACATATGGCTTAATATCTAACCTCATTTATAGGCATTTGCAAAAATAGTAAAATACAAGTAATGGTTATAATTCACTTTTAGGCACCCAGGAAGGGAAAAGGGGGAGTTTAGCTTAGATAATATTCAGAAAATAACTACAGACTCCGTGACAAAATCCCAAATCATGGGATCTAGGGAGGGTGAGTGTGCACAAACTGTTCCCCTACTAAAAAAGTAGAGAGGTTTTTTCCAAAAGACCCCCAACTCAAAACAAAAGGAACACTAAAAAGCCAAAAACAGAAAAAAGAAAGGTGACGAAAGGTGCATAAGAGCAGACATACATGCAGAAGCAACAAACTAAGGAATCAGGTCCTAGTGTCCTACACAAGGGAAAATCACTACCCAAAAGCCTATCATGTCACCCTAATCCTATCTAAGTTCATATTCTCAGTAAGCTCCTTGAATCATAAGTCATGTTTAATCACCTCTTTCCAACTCTTCTAAGGTCATCCTCCACTCCTAATGTCCCTTACTATAAGCCTCTCACACTCAAAAATCATCTAAATGTTGTGTTAGAGTATATATAACAATCATTCCTGGTTGAGTTTTTGGTTGAGTTGGTCCCTTGACATGGTATCAGAGCCTTGATGACCAAGAGGCCACGAGTTCGAAACGCACCGCCACCCAGTTTAAAAAAAATTAAGGTTTCACGTGCAAGGCTCAAAGAGGTCACACCTACACGTGAGGGGGCATGTTAGAGTATATAACAATCATTCCTGGGCCACAACCACAAGCTTGAGCTTTTGGTTGAGTTGGTCCCTTGACATGTTGCTTCTCGCAGTATATCCTTCATAGACACCATTCCCACCTCCAAATGACCTCACCCTGGTCCTTGCCCCATCATACATTGTCCTTAAGAGCTCACATGTAAGAAACCAACAACCCTATGTGCTCTAAGCACCTCCATATGATCTCTCTAAAACATTATCATACGCCTTCTCTAAGTCAATAAACACCATGTGTAGGACCCTCTTCCTCTCCCTATAATGCTCCATCAGCCTCCTAAAGAGGTGAATGAATATCCTTTGTGGTTGACTCACCGGGCATGAAACCACCAAATTAATTTTTGGAAATGCTCACCCCTTTCACAACCTTGCCTCCACTACTCTTTCCTAGACCTTCATGGTATGTCATAAATAATTTGATGCCTCTAAAACTATTGCATTTATGGATATCACCCTTATCACAAAGTTTCAGGCATCTTAGAGCATGTTCTCGTCTGATTGAATCTGATCTAATTTTATAAAGATCTAATTTGATCTGGTGTGATTCTAATTATATTTAAAGTTGTTTCTAATCTAATGATGTGATCTCATCCCAATAAGAATAAGTAATAAGTAAATTGAATAAGTTAAAGAGAACAAGCCCCTAGTCGTCTTGAAAATAGCATTAAACAACTTGGTGATCCTCACCAACCCATCATCTTTGCCAACAATCTTCTAGAACTCCCCTAGGGTCTCATCTGATCCCAAAGCTCTACCCCCACTCCACCCCACCCCCC